AAGCCAGAATACTTTGACATGAACAAAGGAGTTCTGAGTCCCATGATCGCAACCCAAGTCCACTGTTGTCCATGGTGTGTGCTACTTGGATAGCTGGAAGGGAGGCTTCAAAAGAAAGAGGAGGTTTATGAGAATGGGGAATGGCAGTTAAGACTCAGAAGACATCACAGCTAACGAGTGCAATGGCTCTCAGATCACCATGAACCAGCCCTACAGGCAAAAAGCAGGCTGCAAATCTGAACAGAAAAAAAAAAAGCAACACTGACTTCTTAGACCTGGCTGTTGTGATTATCTAAGTCAAAACAACTTCTGTAACTCTTTAAGAGGGGAATCACATGTCGAGGGTAAGTATTCCATGTGTAGTATGATCTTTCCTTTCAGTAATTCAGTGACAGACATGTCAGGTTTTGTTAACTGAATTTTGGGGAATTTGTAGGAGAAAAAAATGTGCTGGTCCACTTGCAGATTCAAGCAATCTCTTCTGTCTACAATGGGAATGGATGTTCAGAATACTAATAGACGTAAGTTGCATCTGGATAGAGCCTTACATTTAGAGGAAAGTTCCTCCACACACATTTGATCCTTCTAATGTGGGAAGCAGGTGGGGCTGGCACTATGATTTTGCTTGCAAAGAAGGAAATAGAGACACGGACACGTCAAGTGGACTGTTCCAGAAAAGGTACGTCAGGAGGAAGATTCAGCCCCCACTGTCAGCCAACTCTGTCTTGCTGGCCTGAGGTGGGATAGTGCCAGGAACTGGGTGCAAAAGTCAGACAATGCTCTGTGTGCAATGTTTGAGAAAGGCTGATCGCAGTTGGGTTGTGCCTAGAAGCTTGTCTTTCACATCCTTGGTCTAGCAGAATAAAGGCAGTATAGGACAAGTTCTTGGGGTTGAATTCCGTCTCCCCGTACACATGTGTGACTTTGGGTAAGTCACTTGCCATTCGTAAGCATCACCTACCCTACTATAGACTGAGGATGACTTCTACTTCTCAACACAGTTGTGAGGGAGCTGTGCTGGAATAAACTCTGGCCTGTCAGTCCTCTCCCGGACCTCCTCTCCCGGACCTGCTAGCTCAGTTGAGACAGGAGATAACTAGAGAAAGGCTAGGCAGACAGACAGGCTGGTCTTCTGGTAATAATGTAGAGAATTCCCTCTGGTAATAATGTAGCGAATTCCCGGCAAGCCTCTCAGGCTTAGCATCAGTAAACAAGCTTCCTGTGAGCTTCTCAAACTAGAGCTTAAGTACTCACTGCTGGGATCCAGAAGCAACCAATCAGTTCACCATTAGGCCCCTACCTCCTGCCGATTGGCCCTTAATACTGACCAATCAGACAGCTACAGCTCACAGCTAGTGCTAGCCAATCGGCTTGGATTTAGGGCTATATAAACACCAGGCTTTCAGCCCCAGATGGACGACCCTTTCAGGCCCCCTCTCTGAACTAAACTTGAAACTCCTGGAAAGCAAGGGTAGGGTCTTGACCATTTCCAAGCTTCCACAGCAGGCCCTATGTTAATGCCTGTGGAACTGCTGAGCCGTGTGAATTAGGAACAGTTAGATTTTCTTAGGAGCTCAATTTTTAAAATGTTAGTTGTTAAGACCTGGAGAGGGGAAGGACTGCTTTTGAAGTAACCTGTTCATTTCTATCCACTTGGGAAATGAGAGCCCTCTTTCTAAAGTGAATCTTTTTTTTTTTTAGAAAAATTAAACGTGGAGGTGGCACAGAAAGGTGGGGGAAGCCAACTATTCTGCCCTTCTCCTGATGTCATCTTTAAGCTGCTCTTGAGCAGGATGAGTGCCCAGGAGTTTCTAGTGCATTCTAGTGCGCCCACCATCAACTTAGCCCACAACACGAGCAACTTAAAAACAGCCCAGAGCTGACGAAGGCCACATCTCCGTGAGGCTTGATTAGTACTTGTGCTGGAGAAAAGACCTTTTAGTTCACTGGAGGGATTACCCCAGAATCAAAAAGACAAAGAGCACCCATAAACCAGAGTTTTGAAACAGAAAATGAACTGGGAACACAGTCTAAGATTTTTCTTTAAACAGAAACTAGCCCATGAATAAAATCTTCTGGTTTTTTGCACAGATTTTTCCTTATTTCTTTAGTCTAACAAGTTGGGTATTTTGTTATATTTTAAAGTTAATAAATCACTTTTCTTTCAAATACTGTGTGCTCAGGATTTAATGAACACTGTGTGTAAGACCCATAGCTGAGCTTAAATTCCAAATCTAATACTTGAAATAAAATAAGCACCTCTTTCCCCCAAACACCCTGGCAATAAACTAAAACCTGTAGAATTGAATATTATAAATCCTATCCGACAGTCACATGTTTCTTAATCTTCTAAATTCTCCAGTAAACTCATTTGATCTATAGTTGAGGACTCGTTCCAGAATTCGGTGTAATCCTCTCCTCTCCTAGACATTTGGCAAGCTTGTCACAAAGGCCTCCACATTTAAATTCTCTTTTGAGACAACAATTATCCTGTCTTAAAGCAGCATCATAGGGTTAGAAAACTACATGTAGGTCTAATCTTGCCTGTTAGCATTCACCAGCTTTTCTTCTTTAAAGCACAAAACAAGTGTTGAAACATCTTACAATGTGTTCTCTGTTTCGCCAAAGAAACTCAACCTGGAATAAAAATCAGCAAAGCCGATTCCTTTAAAGACTGGATGCCAGAAGACCCTATTCATGCTTCCTTACTCCCTCACCCTCTACTGCTTTTATGGTCAATATCAGTGGACAACAATGCATTACGAATAGGACAACCCAGTTAAGTGGTTAAAGCAAGATGAAACCAATGGCGAGACAACGATCATGTTCCTTTTTCCATGTGTGACCATCCCAAGAGATACCTAAGGGGCTGGATCTGAAGTCCCCTTGTGGTGGTAGAAGGTGGTTTTGGCCTTTAAAATGTCATTTATCTGGCCTTCATTTTCTCATCTGCAGAGCACGCTCATTTGTTTACTCATTGATTAAGTAGTTAAGAACCACATACTACAAGCCAGAAACTGTCCTCGGCAACAGTGACAAAACAGAGGTTCAAAAAAAGCCCCTTGCAGTGATCAGACAAATGAGGAGAAAAGTCCCAAGGCTGTGTGCCCTAGCTGTGGGACGGTCATGGAGGATGACGTCCTGAGTGCTGACAGCGCCAGCATGTGCTACACCGGGGATTTATCTGGGCTGAGTCATGGGGACAGAGGAAGGCTTACATAAGTCCGTGGGAGAAGGTTGCAGGCCATGGCATCTTTGAGATGATAAGGGACGATTACACGACAGATGGCAGAAGAAGGAAGGGCACAAAGGGAGATCCCAAAGACTCATAAAAGGCAGACCACGAAGAGCCCTGAGGGCACGTGAAGAGTGGAGAAACCAAGCCGGGCTCAGTGGCTCAGCTTGTCATCCCGCACCTTTGGGAGGCTGAGGTGAGGGGATTGCCTGAGTCTGCGGGTTCGAGACCCGCCTGGGCAGCGAGACCTCATCTCTACAATAAATCAAAAATTCAGCTGGGCGTGGTAGCGCATGCCTGTAATTCCGGCTACTTGGAAGGTTGAGGCGGAAGGATCGCTGGAGCCCAGCAGGTCGAGGCTGCGGTGGCTGGGAGTGGCCACGGCACTCCAGTCTGGGTGACAGAGTGAGACTCCAACTCAAAAAAAAAAAAAAAAGTGGGGAACCCACCTTTCTGGAAGGAAGGAGAGGTTTTAAGTCAAATAGTTTTAAGATATGTGAGCGTTTTATGCTTCCAAACCAGTCTGGACACTCAGCATTAGGCTGTATGACCCAGAGGTACGGCTCCACCAGGAGAAGGTAGAGGCTACAAGACCAGTCCTCCATGGCTTCAAAAGTAGAGGCACGAATTGGCAGAGGCCTAAATGAAGGCCATGGCCGTGAACACAGAGAAGAGGATTCATGAACTACTGGGATGAAGAATCGACATGATTTAGGGGCTTAGATGGAGAGGATAAAGGAGAGAAACAAACTTAGAAGTATTTATAGAGTTTAGTTGGGACATGAACTTTCGTGGAGATACGAACAATGGAATGTATGAGCCCGGAGCTCAGGAGAAATGTCTGGGTTGAAATTTTAAAAATGGGATTCGTTAATTTAGCCAACATACAGGGGGCAGAGGGAAAGTTGTTGGTGAAGGAGACAAAAAGATGGTCCCAGACAAGGAGGAAAAAAATTAGCGTCACTAAACCTAGCGAATAGAGCATTTCAAGGAGATAGCAGCCAACAGCGGGAACTCCTGTGTTACGGGGAAGCAAAATGAACCTGAGAAGGGCGTAGAAGACCCAGCGACTCAGAGGTAACTGGTGATTATGGAGAGCACAGTGTTGGTGGAGCACAGTGTTTGCTTGCCTCAATACTCCAGCAAAGTCACAGAGAGTATCTGGAAGATGAACTAAGATTGCCATTTGATCTGACAATTCTGTGGTTCCCAATGCATCTGTTACTATGGTGGGCTGCAGAGTTAGCGGAAGTGTAAGCAAGAGAATCCTTTTCTGGAAGCTTGGGTTAAAGGAACCAGATCAGCTGTCCAGCTAGGACATCTTTATAGTCCTTTTTTAGCAACAAAACCGTATGAAACTCTACTAACAAAACCATTGGTTGTCAAGGAAGATGGATACGCTTCCACAGATGTCTGACTTACTACCAGGATGGATGCTAAGAAGTTGAGAAATGGTGCTCAGGGACCTTCATAGCAGGACTCGGCTACTAGGACCCTCAGCTCAAGGATGCAGACACTACATGCATCCCTGTCTCTATAATGAAGAAAGGTCAGTGAGACACAGCGGCCAGCCTCCCTTTCCTCTGGGTTTGTGGGATGTGGTAGGGGTGTAGGGAGTAGGAGCCACTCATTCAAGTGCTGAAAGCAATCATATAAACAGAAGAAAGAAGGAAATTATTACCTAGGCAGTAACATAACCCTTGGGTAAACACACATAAATAAGTAGAGACTGTCCAGTGGGACAGTCATCTTGCTGTTTACTCACAGGCGGTCCTGGGGGTCCCGGCTTTCCTGGGGGTCCTGGCTTCCCTCGTCTTCCCTTGAAACCAAAGAAAAACAGATAATAAATGCAGTGGTTTCATTTTATTTTGACATAAGACAATATTAAATGACAATATTGAAGACAGTAAAAATGAACAGGTTAAAAAACAATTCCGATTCCATATGGCTTTTAAACACTGATGAATTCCAAGAGGTGTGGGCCACTTCTCAAGGACTGTGATGAGAAATGTAGCAGCTGAAATGAGGAAATCCAACTGTTAGCAGCACCCTGCAAATGCTGCCTGTCTCAATACTCCAGCAAAGTCACACAGAGTATTTGGAAGATGAACTGAGATTGGCATTTTATCTGACAATTCTGTGGCTCCCAATGCATCTGTCACCATCAGTTGGTGCTTCTCAAAGAGGGGTCTGAACCCTAATGTGACAGGTGTTACCTGAGATGAGACTGGGTGTTGAACATGCATCTTTCTGGGTTCATTGTAGACCTAATGTTTTAGAATCTCTAGGAATGGGCGCTGGGAATCTGCATTTTAAACCCCCTTCAGCTTCTTCTGATCCTCAGGAAGTGTGGGCAGTACAGCCCTAGTACCACCATGATTACATATACTGGAGGAAGCACTCAGCTGGTTCCTTTCTTCCCTTTGAGTGGTGAAGCTGTGTTATACAAGAGCTAAAAGGTATGTCTCTTGCATATTAATCTTCATTGGCACCGAATATTAACTCTCCCAAGTCCACAACCAGCCAAATTCCAACAGCAAGAGTCAGAAAGATAAGTTTGTGTTCACATCTCCAATTAACTGTATCTAATGTCATTTAACATACATTTCATTACTTTATTATAAAATTATTTTCTTAAACTTGTTTAACAGAAGGAAGTAAGTCTAGTTATTGAAAGCATGCATTTTGAATGAAAAACATTTCTGAGCACATGTTTTTAAAATACGGTCACTTGATTTTATTGTTACTAATAACTCTACTGATTATCATATTGGTAAACTATTAATACATGCCAAGGTTTATCGATACTTTAAAAGTAAAAGCATTAGGCGGACCTTTTCAATGCCTTTTTTGGGGAGAATTATAAGCAGAAAAGAAAAGGACCATTTCATTCATGAATCTTCTTGGTCCAAAAGCATCAGAAAAAGTTGCTTGATCTCTCTGGTTTTCATGAAGGCATGGGGAGGGGGGAGATGGTGGAAAGGCTAGATGCCAGTTGAAGCAGTAGAGTGCATTTTGGGAGGTGAACAAGCAAATACTCTGCTGTGATTGGGTGAGAAATGTACCCATTGTTTCTGAAGGCAAATTAAGGGCATACTATCAATGACTTCATATAAAAACTGCAATCTTTATCATCAATAACCTAGCTAACATCTTCAGAACAGATTTAAAAAATTTAATTCAAAAGAGAAATAGAATTAGTGGTGTTTTCACATACTCTTCATTTTAGAGATCTAACCCCCTTGGAGTTCTTTTGGAGGACTGTAAGATTGAAATTAATACGTAATGTTATAGTCTGTATACCTAATATAAGCTACACTCATGTGTATCGTTTTCCAGCCTTGAAGTTACATTTTCTGAAAAATCAATATATTTGCTCTTTTAGTAAATCTAAGTCAATTAGCCTTTTAGGACTAATCAATGATAAAAAGTTTACTTAGAAAGTGGAAATATTGTAATTTATTAATTCACAAGAGCACAAAGAAACTGATTGATGGTGGCTGAGTAAGTGATTGGTTCTTCTTTAAGCATGCATTCAGTGGAGGTAAGTTAAAAACTGTAGGATCAACTTAGTTTATGTTCCCTTTTCTGCATAGGAGATGTATATATTGATTTGGGTAGGAAGTGGGAAAATGAGGCTGGTTATTGATCAGCTTTTATCACAGAGTTAACGTTTAAGACAAGTCAATGCCAGATATTTAAGAAGACACTGGCTTGTGTTCAGATGAGGAACAAAGGCAAACATGATTCCTTGTAGGTGAGGGCAAGCCTCCTGTTCTTACATACCACCTGGATAGAAGCTAGCCTTTCAATGGCCGGATTGTCAGTATCAGGGTGTCAGGGCATCAGGGTGTGCTGGAAGCGGGCAGGGAGAAGGCTGGCTTTGAGAAGAGTGGACATGCAGGTGAAGCAATTTTAAGGGTTGTTATATGATTGGAACATATTGTGCAGACAACTTTGGCTGGAACATATTTTCAGATTAAAGCTGGTTTCTGGGCTGAAATTCCTAGCAACACCCTAAAGCAGATGAGAACAATTTTTAAAGACCCACTTTTTCCTTAGATCTTCCACCAAGTCTATTCAGGTTGAGTATCCCTTGTACAAATTGCTTGGTAACAGACATGTTCTGGATTTTGGATTTTGAATACTTGCATGTACAGAAGGAGATAGCTTGAGGATGGACCCTAAATCTAAACACAAAATTCATTTATGTTTCATATACACTTTATACACATAGTCTAAAGGTAATTTTATACACTAGTGTAAGCAATTTTGGGGCATGAAATAAAGTTTTGATGGTAATCCATCACATGAGGTAGGGTATGGAATTTCCAATTTATGACTTCATATTGAATCCAAAATTCAAATTTTGAATTTTGGAGCATTTTGAATTTCAATATTTCAGATTAAGGATGCTCAACTTGCAGTAGGAACAGGACTACCTTAAGAAAAACTTTTGGGACTTAAGTCCCAAGTGTCAGTGACCTGTGGTAGGGTCTCTGACAGAACAGAACAGGGGGTGGACAGAGGAGGAATGTGGGTGGCACTAACAGCTGGGAGGGAGCTATTGGGGGCCACAGTTTGTATCAATTGTTCAGGTTCTTCCCAGACAAGGATCTCCAGGAATGAATTCTCTTATCCTGTTTCTCCCTTCGAGGCTCCTGGATGCATAGAATATAGAATATAGTCGCACAGTCTCCTGTTCCTCCAAGACATCATCCCTCTTCACTTCAAGGCATTTGGGAAAGATATTTTGCTTTTTTCCGGTAGCTAATGTAAATGGAATTGAGTTCCTGATTTGATTCTCAGCTTGGTCATTACTGGTATACAGCAGTGTTACTAATTTGTGTACATTGATTTTGTAACCTGAGACTTTACTGAATTTGTTTAGCAAGTCCAAGAGTCTTTTAAAGGTGTTTTTAGGGTTTTTTAGATAAAAGATTCACATCATTGACAGATAGTTGGATTTCTTCTTTCCCAGTTAAGATACCATTTGTTTCTTTCTCTTACCTGATTGCTGTGGCTAGAACTTGCAGTAATATGTTGAATAAAAGTGGTGAGGAATATATTTAACCAAGAAGGCAAAAGATCTCCACAAGATGAACTACAAAATACTGATTAAAGAAATTGTATATGACATAAGCAAATGGAAAGATATCCCATGCTCATGAATTGGAAGAATCAACATTGTTAAAATGACCATATTACCCAAAGTAATCTACTGATTCAATGCAATCCCTACTAAACTACCAATGTCGTTTTTCACAAAATTAGAAAGCATAATCCTAAAACTCATATGGAATTTTAAAAAATTCCAAATAGCCAAAGCAATTCTAACCAAAAAGAACAAAACTGGAGGTATCACATTACCCAACTTCAAATTATGCTACTAGGCTACAGTAACCAAAAGAGCATAGTATTGGTACAAGGACAGATATATGTGGACCAGTGGAACAGAATAGACAACTGAGAAATAAACCCAATTACCTATAACCAACTGATCTTTGACAAAGCAGGCAAAACATACATTAGTGAAAAGGCAACCTATTCAACAAATGGTGCTGAAAAAATGGAATAATCACATGCAGAGGAATGAAATTAGATTGCCATCTCTCACCAAACACAAAAATTAACTCAAGATAGATTGAAGATTTAACTGTGAGAAACCACAACAATTCTAAAAGAAAACCTAGGGGAAATTCTTCTGGATATTGACTTAAGCAAATAATCTTTGGCTAAGGTCCCCAAAACAAATGCAACAAAACCAAAAATAAGTAAGTGGGACTTAATTAAACCAAAAAGCTTCTATACAGCAAAAGAAATAATCAACAGAATAAACAGGCAACCTACAGAATGGAAGAAAATATTTGCAAACTATACATCAGACAAAGGACTAATATTCAGAATCTACAACGAACTCAAGCAAATCAGTCAAAAAAAAATTAAAAAGGGCAAACAACATGAACATCTCTCAAAAGAACAAGAAGAAGATATACAAATGGCCAACAAACATGAAAAAAGCTCAATATCACTAATCATCAGGGAAATGCAAATTGAAACCCAATGGCACAGCACCTTACACCAGTCAGAATAGCCATTATTAAAAAATAAAACAAACAAACAAAAAATAGATGTTGGCACAGATACAGTGAAAAGGTAATGCTTGTACACTGTTGGTGGGAATGTAACCGAATACAACCTCTATGGAAATCAGTATGGAGATGTCTCAAAAAACTAAAAGTAAACCTACCTTTTGATCCAGCAATTCCAATACTCAGTGTCTACTTAAAGAAAGAGGTACGTATACAAAACAAACACCGGCACTCGCATGTTTACTGCAGCACGATTCACAATTGTAAAAATGTGGAATCAATACAAATGCCCATCAACCAATCAGCAGATAAAGAAAATGTGACATGTATGATATATGTGTGTGTGTGTACACACACACATACATACATACAGCATGGAATACTATTTATACACACACACACACACACACACACACACACACACACACACACACGTATATATCATGGAAATAAGTCTTTTGCAGCAACTTGGATGGAATTGGAGACCATCGTCCTAAATGAAGTAATGCAGGAAAGGAAGACCACATACCTCAATTTCTTCTCACTTATAAGTGGGAGCTAAGCTTAGGATCTGCAAAGAATGGTATAATGGATTGGAGTCTCAGAAGAAGAAAGGGTGGGAGGGGAATGAGAAATAAAAAATCACCTAGTAGGTACAATGTATACTAGTGGGGGAGAGGGGTAAGACTTCTTTAACTCTTGCCACTGATCTGTGTAACCAAAAGTC